ATCAATGTGATATTTTTGCATTATATCAGGTATTAAAGTAAAAGAGAATGAAGAAAAGTGAATGAAGAATGAGTGAATAAAGAAAAGAGAAAGAAGAAAAAGTGAATGAAAAATAAGTGAATGAAGAATAAGTGAATGAAGAATAAGTGAACGAAGTAAAAGAGAATGAAGAAAAAGTGAATGAACAGAAAGAAGAAAAATGAATGAAGAATGAGTGAATGAAGAAAAACAGAATGAAGAAAAGGTGAATGAAGAATAGGTGAATGAAGAATAGGTGAATTAAGAAAAAGAGAATGAAGAACTGAGGAAGTAATGAATAGGAGACAAATAGAGTAAGAAACTATTTTTACAATGCTGTTCACCTTGTAAAAGGCCCGGGAACCACTCGAGTAACTAAGGTCCGCAAATTGGAGGAGAGAGTTATCAATAATAATGTTCTGACTTCGAATCTTTAAACCCCTCTCTGTCTTTTTTTTTATTTTAAAAATGTACCTTTTATAATATAAAATTTGGCGAGGCGCCTGCTAATTTTAATTTCGAAAATGCGTTCCAGAGAAAAAAAAGTTGGGGAACCACTAGTCTAGACAGACAAGAACAGACAGACACTCAGTCAAGTCTAGACACAGACAAATAGAAAGGAAAAAAAAAAGAGAGATAATGAACAGCATGAAATCGACTGACATATAAATGAGACGAGAGGGGTGCTGAAAAGTTCTCGACTCAACCAATTTCCCAAGACCTGACCAAATGACCTGTCATTTGATATTTAATGGGGTGAACTTTTCTTGGTTGGTTTTAGAACCTTCAGCACCTCCCGAAATGTTTTAAAAATTGAAATATCTATCCATGAATGGCTCCAAAGGCAGATAGCAAAGGAAAAATTAAAATACAACCAAAATGAAATAATAAGACAAAGAATGAAATGTCAGCGTTGCGAAAAAGGGAAAGAAAAACACGTGATCAGCAGACTATTTACAAGGACGATCTTTCTGAAAGCTGTCATACACACGAGTTTCGATGCCCATCGGTATCACTATTTGATCATCGAGCAAAAAAAAAAAAATATAAAAAATAACAAAAAGCAAACACTCCAACTATTATTTTCCTATCGGTTTCACTCCAGCATTTGTCATTAAACAGAGAAATATTAATTTCAGAGACTGAAAGCAACTGTTGAGTGGAAACAAATAGTTGTTTGTCACGCGTTGTTAATAAGCAAGCACTTTACCTTGAATAGGAAAAAACATCATGGCACATTGCTTTCAGATTAGTTCAGGAGTTAGACAAGCAGACAGCTAGTAAAGCGGAGGTTCCCCAGCATAAACACTTAGTAATTTCAAAATTACTTAGTGGGTAAAATACATTTTCCGCTGGTGTTCAATGTTCAAAGCCGAACAAAGGCGATGAGTTTATAGTTGATTTACAGAGAATTCGGTCCTGTTTCTATTCTACTCTTGCCTATATACAATCGCATGCGTGTATATTTGAATAAACAGGAGCGTACATTCAGTGTATTTATACAAGTTTACTTAAAGACTAACAAAAGTTCTTTAAGCATTTTAAATATTTTTTCTACATTGCAGAATATATTCTGGTTTCTGATAAAAGATTAAATGGTAATTGTCCAACGTTTAAATACATCGGCCTTCATAAGTCATTATCAATGAATTTTTTTTCATCGTTTCGCCTCAAGCAAAGCGATATTGCCACTAAGATGTAAGGGGTTATTAGAAGTGAAAGAATACAAGATGACATTAATGAGGAGAAAAGACAATAAAAGTAAAGTTTCAGGAAGGCAAAAATGGCGATTAACATTGCATTTAAATTTTTGAAGATCGTAGTTGGCAGGGAAGCAAGAAATTGGGAGTTCCACGAGCGAGAAGTGTGAGAAAAGAAACTATTAGAATAGAACTTACGGTTGCACCTAGTTATTTCAAAAGTAAAACGATGTAACCTAGTTACCAATCTAGTACTACACTTAAATTCATGAGGTCGAAATACCAAGGAGGAAACCTCATTAGAACAATTGCTATCAAAATATTTATGGAAAAGACATTTACGTATGTAGTCTGGTCTGCTATTTAACCCAGAGCTGAGGAGAAAACAGATGAATTCATACCTTTCCTAATTGGTCTTTACGCGTTCTTAGCCGTAAACCATTACATCACCTGTACATTTGTAAGTCATCTCATTAAAAAAATATCCGAAATCTGACGGTGATAAATGATATTTTCGCTATTAAAAGACCAAGGTTTAATTTTCATAGTTTTAAACGCCTATGCTACGCCGTCACAATATGATTCAATTAACATGGTTGGTTGATTTTGTTTAGCGGCATATGAACCACGATAGGTTAATTAATACCGAAATCTAGATAATTTGAACTTTTATGATTTTTGTTATGGTCCGATTCCTTGTACCACGGTGATAGTCCAAGGTAGAACCAATAAAGAAGAACTCGAATACGGATATGGAAGAACACAGATATATTACAAACAGGAATATACACAGAGAAGTAGAAAATGTTAGTACGAACAATCAGGTTTAGTAGTAATTGTCTGAACGCGACTCTGTTTCGGTCTGCTTCTGACTCGACTGACAGACTCCTGATAGATTTCACTCCAGACTTAAGACTGAACTCTAGACTTCAGACGGAACTCTGAATGGTATTTACTTAACTCCCACGGGGTCAAGATGTTACACAAGGTCGTTTAACGTGCGAGACCCGAGTGTTTCCACTCAAGGGCCACTGGTCCAAAACTGGTCATAGCTTGTCCAAGCTGGTCAGAGCCTAGTCAAAGCTGGTCATGACTTGTCCTAGCAGGTCCAGGTCGGAGCCAGTCCAAGCTAGCAGACGGAACTCTGAATTCCCTGCTTCCTCTTGAGGTGCAGTATTTATTACGTATGGAATAGTCCATTATGTTATTATGGGTAAGGTCCCCTAACAATTTTTTAATTTATAATTTCAACTAAATATATTTTGAACGCAATTGTAAGCCTTCAGCTACAAATGTTTGTGTATAATTTAATTTGAACAAAATTTTATGACTTCAACTAAATATATATAAAGAAAAAATATGATGCTGGTCATTTTGCTTTCAAAATGTATTGTTGGTCATTGTTTGCCATGCTACATGTGGCTGGTGCTTATGTTCCTAAGTGAGAGAACGAAACGCATATTGCCAATACGCTTATCTATGGATAAAGAAAAAAAAGAGTTTGTCCCTTCTTTTTATACTGCTTAAAACAATGCCACTTAGTGGACGGTAAAAGAAGTTTCGTGGTGGACAAGGTAGGATAATCTCACGATAGATGATATTGCGGTTAAAGAATTAGCTCAACAACTTAATTCAAGCTCGTCAAAAGTCCACTGTCATCTGTTACATCGCGGAAGAGATGTCTAAACTTAGAAAATGGATTTCCGTGATTTTACAGAAGCCAACCATAAAGCAAGATTGAACCTCTGCACTTATCTGCACTCTTGGAAAGTTATATTTTCATTTTGGGACAAATTAATGACTATTTCTTTAAATCGTTTCACATCAAGTAAGGTGATAAAGCACTAAGACGTAAAGGGAGTGAAGTGAAAGAATCCGAGTAAAAAACATTATTAAAGAGAGAGAGAGAGAGAGAGAGAGAGAGAGAGAGAGAGAGAGAGAGAGAGAGAGCGGACAATAAAAGAACAGGGTTCAAAGAGATAGAAGATGGCAATTAACATTGCATTTAAATTTTTGATGATCAAAGTTGACTGTAAAGCAAGAAGCGAGAAGATAGAAATGTGAGAAACTGTTAGCATAAAACTTACGGTTGCATCTAGCAATCTAAACTGTAAAATGAAGAGACCTAGTTGCCAATCTAGTACTGCATTTCAATTTGTAAAGTCGAGACACTAAAGAGGAAAGCTCACCAGAAAAATTACCATGAAAATATTTATACAAAAGGCACAACGAAGTCACGTTACGGTTGTAGGAAATTGACTGAAGCCGAGTTAACTGGTTATGACCAATAACATTGCAGATACTTCTTAGGATTTTGCCAAGAATCTATAAATACATAGAAGAAGCACCAAACCAGATGTGACAACAATATTCAAAGCATGGGCGAATGACAGACTTATAAATGTGTACGATAGATTCTGGCGAGAAAAATGTCTAACACGACAGAGTGAATCAAATTTCTTAGCAGCAGATCGAGCAATTGATTCAATATAGCAGTTGCACTTCATGTCAGTTGAAAGATAAGGTATAATGTATCACTCTCCTGGAGCTTCGCATCAGCCATCCTGAGTTCTCTTAGACTATTAAAAGAGAGCAATTTTGTTTTGGAAGCGTTAAAATTAACAAGCCGTTTCTTGCCCCAGTTAACAACAGATTGAAGGTCATTTTTTTATATTAATTGTCAATTGGTCCATAGCGAACCGATCAGACTTACTATTAAGGCAGGAGTAAATAGTTATCATTAGAAGGGGTACCGAGTCGAGAACTAGTGACATCGGGAAGGTTTTAATGACAATTAGGAACAAAGTAACTAGTGATGAAAAATCAATATTTTACAAGATTATGAAGCAACGTATACAATTGCTTAGTAGACGTGAACAAGATGTTATTATCAGTCAATACATGTACGTTGTAATCATAGTATTGTCAACAGTTGATATTTAAACACTGTTTGGAAAGAAAATAATCCAACTTTGATTAGTCACAACTGTGTGGTCTGCTATCATTATAATATAATTATAATAACCCAGCAAAGATCGTGCCTAAAAAGAGTGAAAATCTCGACATGAAAATATTCCACACCTTTTACTTGCTGCAGTTGTCCTGAAGTTTACAGATTTATCTTGATGGACTGGTTTTTAAAACACATGAAGAAGTGAAGCCATCAACAGTCTCTTTCGCAAAACCAAACTTTGTGTCATCAAATGGCGGTAATCTGAATCAACTGAAAGATAATGATTACAACAAATTGTCTTAATAGAAAGAAAGTTCAAACATAACTTTATGTTGTGTCTGGAAGATGGGCGGTTGAAGTTGGCTGCTATTGCTAATTTGACTAGTTGTCAAAAGATAAAAGCATTGTATAAGACGAACAGGAAAAGAAAAATAGGATTCGTGTGTCTCTCTTCTTTCTCTTTCTTCTTCTTCTATCCCTTTCTCTTCTTTGCCTCTCCTCTTCCCTCTCCTCCTCCTCTTCTTCTTCTTCTTCTTCTCTCTCCCTCTTTTTCTTCTCCTTCTCCTCCTCTCTTATTCTTCCTCACCTATTTTTCTCCTTCTCCATCTCTCTCTTTTCTTTTTCCTCCTCCTTTTTCGTCTCGCGCTTCTTTTCCACGTCCTCCAATCAAAACTCAAGAGAGGAGGTTAAATATTTTTTCTAATGTAATAATAGAACTTAAAGGTTCACTTATCCTTCTAATTTTATCTATTTATATTTCTTTTTTCGTTTTTAATGTTCTCTCTTGATATCGAACATTATAATTACAAAAACTGCTTGCCTTAAATTACCAGAAACATAATTGATACTAAATTTTCCGAATTGTGTATAACTATTTCGATAAAAATAAAATCCACAATTTAAAACTCTGCTCAATGCCGAAAAGCAACGCAGCAATAAAATCGCTTTCCCGAAATTCCCCATGTATAATACACCTTTATCCATAATACGCACATCTAAAATTGTGCTGAAAGTGTGGGAAAATGCTTCTACTCACACATAATACGCACCCCATGTTTGGTAATCTAACCCTATAAATTGTGCCTCTCCAATTTCATTACGGCCAGCGTTTCCGACTTTTATTTTAAAAATATGGTTTTAAACAGAATAATATAATTCTAATTTAGTTTTATGATAATTCTTATTTTATTTTACGGCATTTTGTTAAAGATTTTTGTAGCTGTACATAATACGCACCCCTGATTTTGTTTATTATATTTTAGAAAGAAATGCGAATTATACATGGGGAATTACGGTATTTGTCTTTAAAATATATTAACCATTCTTACAATAGGCACCCAACATGATCCAATCTCTAAAATTCTTTTCCCCTCCCAATCTCTCTTTCCTCTATTGTCATTCACGTGCTTTTCTATTGTGATTTCGTATTTTTTTCTCCCTCTATTTTTTACTTCTTCGTCATCGCTAAATTTCATCTTAGTAAAACTTAAAATTGAGTACTGCTGTCATATTTGCCCACTCCTCACTTCCCAGTCTCGATAGAGTTCAAAAGTGTCTCCGCGTCCTTGTCGGTGACAATTTTTTATTACCCATTAACTGCTCTCACTCACAGACGAAATGTCGCAAGCCACTCACTTCTCTATCGCTATTTCCACTGAAAGTGCTCAAACGAACTACATTCCTTAGTTCCACCAGTTCTGGCCTTCCCACCTAGTATCCGCCATGCTACGCGTAATGTAGAGAATCACCCTCAATTCTCTCCGTATTATACTGGTGTGAAGTAAGTTCCACTTGAGCAGCTTCTTCCTGCGAATAATTGCTCTATGGAAGCGACTCCCAATGGGATGTTTTTCCCGATAACTACAATCTTAACCTGTTCAAGTCTAGGATTAACCGTTATCTTCCCCACATATCCAATTAAACTGTGCCTCTTACTCAATAACCCTCTACCTCGAGTGGTCCCCGGGCCTTTTACAAGGTGAACAGCACTTTAAAAATAGTTTCTTACTCTATTTGTCTCCTATTCATTACTTCCTCAGTTCTTCATTCACTTATTTTTCATTCACTTTTTCTTCATTCCCTTATTTTTCATTCACTTTTTCTTCTTTCTCTTTTATCGTTCCTTTATTCTTCATTCACTTTTTCTTCATTCACTTTTTCTTCATTCTCTTTTACTTAATTCATATATTCTTCATTCTATTTTTTTTGTTCTCTTTTTTCTTTCTAGTTTTTTTTTTAAATTCTTGCGTCCAATTCACAGAAATGTCCTTCCTTTCCATTCCCCACCATTCTCTTCTTATTTTTTCGCCGTCGTCTTTTCATTTCTTTCTTTCCCTTTTCATACAATGACCGTGACTTTTGACACAACTCTGATCACGAATAACACAATAGCGGCAGCACGTGCTTCTGATCAACTTTTGTTTGCATTTCTCAAATATCCATATTCCTGTATTTTTCTTTACTCTGCACAATTATTAATGACTATAATAATGGAGGAGGCGTATGTCACCCACGCAAATTAGCAAACCGACACTCTTATTGCTGGATTAAGCTTACCGACAATATGGATTACAGTTTTCCCTGTTCCTATGGCGAGACGGTGGATGGCTTTCAAAAAGTCGCCATGGGTGATCTTTTCTCTCTAATGGTTAAAAAAGAAGGCATTTCGTTTAGGTTTTATCTTCTCGAGTAAAACAAATGTGGTCAACTCAGATGAACTCATTCATCGTGATATTACAAAAGTGAATAGCGATCTCCCAACCAACAAAAACGTATAACAGTTTCCCAACAAACCAAGCCGTATAGCGTTTTCTCAACCAAAACAGACGTATAGCAATCACGCAAATAAAAAACAGAGGCGTTTTCCCAATCAAAAAAGCCGTATAGCGCTCTCCCAACCAACAAGGCTATATAACGCTTTCCCTCAAACAAAGCCGTTTAGCACTCTTCTAACCAACAAAGCCGTATAGCGGTTTCTCAAACAACAAAGACGTATAGCGTTTTCCCAACCAACAAAGCCGTAAGACATTTCCCAAGAAACAATGTCGTATAGCGTTCTCCCAACCAACAAAGTTGTATAGCCTTTTTGGCCTCACGTTTTCAACTGAACGGAAGTGGAACGACTTCATCGACTCAATGGATGCATCTACTGCAAAAAAGTGACATGGCTTCCCTCTGTCTGTTCTACAATTATTTTATGGCAACTGCTCGGATGAGCTTTTTTCCCCTGGTGCCTTGACTACATGAATTCAAGCGTGCTGCTAGATTGACATCTAGGCCCCACCACTTTACCGTTGAAATTGTTAAGTGTAACCGCCACTTCTAATTCAACAATTTCTTTTCTTGCACTTCCCAACTGTTGATCTCCCTTCCGTTTACTTGCTTCCCTGATAATTTCAATATTCAAAAATTTAAATGCAACATCAATGGCCATCTTCTGTCTTCTTGAATTTCGTTCATCTTTTATCTTTTCCTCAGCCCCTCCTATATCCAGTCTTTTCTCTCACTTTCACACTTAGAAGATATGCAGAATTTTCATGAGTTAAAACAGGACATGAGTGTTTGGAGAGGACTGGTAAGAGTTATTTACAAAGTTGGTGAAGGTGAGAAATCAAACAGATTTACCAGTCCTCTCCAAATACCCATGTCCTGTTTTAACTCAAGAAAATTCTGCAGGTCTTCCAAGCCCTTCAATTTTTTTTACCGATAATGATGGAATATTATGGATTTCTTTCACTGTTGTCATTCAGTGTGTATACGATGTTTATTCGTTTAATGTTATTCTTTAAGTTGGTAATGATGACAAATCAATGCCATAATATTTAGTGTTTGTTTCCAAAGCTATTAACTTGTGCTTGTCTACCTCTGATGTTAATATCAAGTCCTCTCTTTGATTTTGGTTTCTTGGAGATAACATACACTACAGATCAAAAGTTTGAAGCCACCCCCAAAATTAGCATGGGATGAACAGACGGAGGGAAGCCATGTCACGTTGGTGCGAAAGTGACTGAGGTAGAGATGCCAACTCAGGATCTATTACACTGCAGAACGTTCTTTGGATTTTGTAAGAAACTCGAAATGGGTAGCAGGAGCACCAGACCAGATATGACAACAGTACTAATTGATTCAGTATATGGTATGTGTTTGTGTGTGCATGTATGTGTTCATGTGTGTGTTTGTGTGTGTGTGAAGGATCTCGAGACGTACAGCAGGAGCACCAGCCCGGATATGACAACAGTATTCAATGCACGGTCGAATGGTAGATTTGTAAATGTGTAAGGTGGACTCTGACGAGAAAAAACTCCTGGCACGGCACAGTGACCCAACTTTCCTTGCAGTGGATGCAGCTGTTGATTCGATGTAGTCGTTCAAGTCAGTTGAAAATATCTTGAGCGACAAAACAGATATTCTGTCTATGACCTCCAATATCTATGGATGCTATTCACCAATTTGGTAACGATGACAAAACTAATGCCATAATATTTAGTGTTTGTTTCCAAAGCTATTAACTTGTGCTGTCTAACTCCGATATTAATATCGAATCCTGTCTTTGATTTTGGTTTCTTGGAGATAACATATATCAATGTTATAACTATCAAAGTCTCGAGCCAATAATTCCTACTTTTCTTTTTTCACAATTCATCTAATATTAAATGTCCCGATGTTAAAATCTATAAATGCGATTGGAGGCATTTATAAAGTTTTAAATAAGTTGTCAACTTTTAAATAATTACCTTCTCCGCCAAAACGAAATAAACTCAATAATTACCTTGACACGAAAATCTTTACGTGATTTCATTTTGTTCGCGTCATCAGTCACGTTCTGCTCTTTTCTTTCATACGATACAAAGCTGTTATAATTTATTATTTCAAACAAGCCCTTTAATGTTTCAACCCTGGCTTCTGTCCTGTCAAAATTCCGATAGTGTTAGTAATTTCAATCTCGTATGTCAGCATGTTTTAGAAACAAATAATTAAAAAAAAAAACTCTTGATGACAGATTGCAACTGCAAAACGGAAACTTGTTTAATCATGTTATCGTGCTATAAAGAAATCAGATCGAAGAAGATGAAGCAACAATTTCTCCTGTACATGTAGCTACTTGCTACAAAATAAATCAACAGTCATTCAATCTCTCTCTCTCATATATATATATATATATATATATAGATAGATAGAGAGAGAGAGAGAGAGAGTTAATACAAATATAAAGTTTGTCACTTAGCTAATTAATGTTACCTTTAACATCCCGAATCCAGAGTTTCGTAGACGGGCCCTGCAGCAATCACTCCGTCCACTCATCAGGGGATATATATATATAGTTTTTTTTAGTTATTCCCGATCTACTGATTGAGCACTCTGTGTTTTAGTCTTACTGCTCGCTTGTTTTTTTTTTCCTTTGAACTAAAGACTTAAGGCACTGGAGAATTTGTTTCTCCCTGTTCTTTGTTTGTTTCAGTTCTTTTTTTTCAATTTTTTCTCGATTTCTTTTGACATATCTACAAGTTGTGCTATCCGAGGTTTGTTCATAGATTTTTTTTTAATTCAATTTTTTTTTCACATTTCAGACCATTCTTCAGTTTTTTATTTTAGTTTTTCTTTTATAAGTTCACCCTAAGGAAAGAAATATAAGCACTAAGTCTAAGTCGCAAGAAGTTACTGATTGCGAGGAAATACAAAAAAAAAAAAATACATTATTAAGGAGAGAAAGCAATAAAAGAAGAGGAATTAAGAAGACACAAGGTAACGAGTGACATTGCATTCAATCTTTTTTAGTTTAAATTAAAATTTTTGAAGATCAAAGTTGACTGGAAAGTATGACATCGGAAGAGAGTTCCACAAGCGAGAAGTGCGAAGAAGAAACTATTAGAATAGAACTTATGGCAACATATAGCAGTTTCAACTGTAAAAAGATGAGACCTAGTTGCCAATCTAGTATCGCGCTTAAATTCATAAAGCCTAGGTACCATAGAGGAAAGTTCATCGGAACAATTACCACGAAAATATTTATAGAAATGGCAAAAGGAAAGTACATTACGGCGGTGGCAAAGAGATTGAAACCGAGATGCCAGGTCAAGACCAATAACATTGCAGAGTTTTCTTTGCCTTTTATCTTGAATTTTTAAATATAAAACAGAGGCACCAGACCAGATGTGACAGCAATATTCAATGCAAGGACAAATGGTAGACTTATAAATGTATGAGATAAATTTTGTCGGAAAACATTGTTTAGCATGACAGAATGAACTAGCTTTCTTAGAAGCTGGTTCACTGTTTGGTGCTAGACCATTTTTCTCGCCAGAATCTATCTTTTCTGGGCGTTTGAGCACGTTCGGATTTCAAAGTACATTATCAAATATTTTAAAATTTGTATTGATAGAGTTGTATCAGATGTGCTTTGATATCTGCTGAGTCAGTGTGTACACTAGCAAGAATCACAAAACATACTCATGGAAGCAACGTCTTCAGTCTTAAACCAATAACGCTTTGATAATGGCTTATGAAAGCCGAAGAGGTTCGTAAGACATTTGATAATTTTTCAGATTCTCTCCAGAAAACAAGTGGTTCGAACCGTAGAAAAATTCAACTACAAATCTTAAACAGGTTTTTATTTTTATTTTTTAATATAAAGCAAATATAAGTAGTGTGGATATAAGTATACATCATCTCACTGATATTGTACACAATTCTCACATAAAATATATTTCAAGTGTGATATATTTATCATATAGTAAAAATTAAATCTTATCTTATCCCTACTCAATTACGCTGATATTACATCCACTTGCGACTTGATTGTAAGATTTAATCGGTTTAAAATCTGACAATCAAGTCCACTTAAAAGTGAATGTGATCTGCACGATCGTTCGAATCTACAGATGAATGAAATAAAATTAAATACTCACGTCTTGTGTAGGTGATGTAGTAGATAGAGGCTCCGAATGAGAAATCGAACAGCCGGTCGAGTTCATTGCATTCAGCTATACTCAAATATCCTTGGGAAGGGTATGATACTATATCTCTCCTCACAGCTATGGGTTAAATAGTAGAGCAAACCGAACTCTTCAGCCTTGGTTCGTAATCAGTCTAGGAGAAAGATAACTTTGAATTTTAAAACCGTATGTCGAAGCACATACTATGTACAGCTAATGAAAGTATCGTGGAGTTTATAATGAAACTATGATCCCGACTATTGTCGGCCTTCTGTTTAGTATCTCGTCTTTACTTTGAGTTTCGTGGAAATTGCATTCAATCTTTCGGAGACTTGATTGTAAAATTGGATATATTTTCAGAAAATATACTTACTTTAAAAGAGTAGTTTTAGTTATAATACAACAATATATAGGATTCGCACATTTGCACGCAACTGAAACATACGACGCTACAACCACACAAAGTCATGGGATTTGTGTCAGTGAGAGAAGGATAAAGATTAGTTATTGTAACATTCACATAAATACAGTAGTAAATACTGTATGTTGTTCTGCAGTCGGAGATTCGTCTCTAGCTGTGCCGGCCAAAC